CACTTAAGATACAATTAGATAAATATATATACAGATTTATAATATTTAGATATAGCTGGATTTGATATATTTATTATATAAATATTTATTATATGAAGTATTGAAATCAGCAATAGAGCATCAGAAAAACAACAAAACCCAAGGCCCAGATGGGATTCCAGGGGAGCTGTACAAGGCAATTGCAGAACAAATTGGACCTCTTATGGTAGAAGTTCTTAACGACGTTTTATTGGCAGCCAGGATGCCGGACTCATGGAGGGGGGCACTGATTTCGCTGATCCCGAAGAAGAATACGGATCCCAGATATATAAACAATTATAGGCCGTTTTCACTGTTACACTGATTACAAAATATTCACCTCTATTATAGCGCAGATTAAAAAGAATGTTAAATGTGCATATACATGAAGACCAAAATGGATTTCTCCCGACCAGACAAATCAGGAATAATTTAACAGTATTAGATGTTTTTATGAATTTTATGAAGCTCACCCCGAAAAACAAATTGCACTTATGTTTTTAGATGCAGAGAAGGCTTTCGACAATTTAAATTGGCAATTTTTAATCCAAAAAAATTATAATATGAACCTAGGCACCAAATTTGAAAACATTATAACAACTATTTACGACACACAAGCTAATATTATAATAAACGGGGAATATACTTGCCCAATAAAAATAGAAAAAGGAGTTTTCAGGGCTGCCCACTTTCACCTCTGCTCTTCATATTATCATTAGAAACATTATTAACGCAAATTAGACGGAACCCAGATATAAAAGGATTAAAAGTTAAGAAAGAAGAATATAAATTGCAAGCATTTGCGGACAATAGGATCTTTTTTATTGAGGAACCAATAGATAGAGGACAAAAATTGATGAATGAATTAGAACAATTTGGAGCAGTAGCAGGACTTAAAATTAATAGGAAGAAAACTAAATTAATGACTAAAAATTTAACAGAAAAACAGGAAATACAGTTAGAAGTTATGGAAATACAAGTGACAAAGAAAGTTAAATACTTAGGAATATGGTTGACAGCACATTGCAAGACACTCAAAAAAAAAAGTAACTATGACAAATTGATGCAGCAGGTAAAGAAGGACTTAGAATCATGGGATAAGCTCCAACTTTCATTACTAGGTAGGATTGCTACCATTAAAATGAATATTCTTCCTAAATTTCTATACCTATTTCAGACGATCCCAATTAAACTACATAATTTTTTTTTTTTGAAGAACTCAACAAAATAACTCTTAAATTCATTTGGCAAGGGAAAAAACCTAGAATAAATGTAAAAGCAATGCAGGATATGAAGAGCAGGGGAGGATTGGCACTTCCAAATTGGGAGTTGTATTATATTGCTGCCTCTTTAGTTTGATTGAAGGAATGGGTGAACTTAACCAACAAGAGAATATTATTTTTAGAAGGCCACAATTTGCAAAGGGGGTAGCACGCTTTCCTATGGGATGTAGGGAAAACTAGTCAAAAATATTTCCATAGACATCTAATCAGAGACTCACTATTAACTAATTGGAAGAAAATACGGAAAAAACACTATATAAAAGTACCAATCTGGATTTCAACAATGGAGGCGATGATTCACCCAAACAATTTGGATTATCATCAAAATGATCAAATATAAGGACCTATTGGACACACAAGGAAATTTGAAATCGAGGCAAGAACTTCAGGAGCAAGGACAAAAAATTGACCAGTGTGCATACCTTCAAATTCAAAGTAGATACAAACAAGATAAGAAAGAATTCGGAATCAACACGCTCCAGCAATTAGATAAAATTTCATTGGATCAGGCAAAAAAAATATAACAAAAATTTTATAATTATTTATTAGAAGTTGAATTAGAAGAAATTGTAAAAGGGAACATGATTGCCTGGAGTAGGAATGTAGGACGCAGCATCACCTTAACGGAATGGGAAAAGGTCTGGGGTAGAAACAATAAGATCACAAAATCGGTAGCATATAAGGAAAATGCCTATAAAATGTTTTATAGATGGCATCTCCCTCCTTCGAGGTTAGCAAAGATGCACCCCAAAATGAGTCCAATTTGCTGGAAATGCAAAAAAAAAAAAGAAGGAACCTTTTTCCATATGTGGTGGTCATGTATAGAAGCCCAAAGTTACTGGAAGAAAATCAAAATTTGGCTGGAAGAAATGACAAAAGAGCAGATCGAATACAAACCAGAGTCCTTCTTGTTAGGGATCTTTGACAAACAAATTTCCAAAAAAGCGAAATACATAACAATACACATCTTAACAGCGGCCAGATTAGCCTTCGCCCAATGTTGGAAGCAGCCTCAGGCGCCATCAGACAAAATGATCATCCAAAAAATCTCAGGTTGTGCAGAAATGGACAAACTAACTTTGGCACCAAAAAACAAAGATACCTCAATATACTACGATAGCTGGAACTGTTGGTACAATTGGATTGACCAAAGATAGATTTTACACTATAAGGTGAAAGAGGATAGGATAAATCTATAGCAGTGATATATAGATATATGTAAAGATTAGGTGTGTGTATAGGGCATAAACTAAGGGTTATGGGGGGGGAAAAGATCTTACAAACTGTGGAAGATGAGAATGTTTTTAATTGCTTTCTATTCTATTTTCCTTTCTTTTTTTTTCTTTCTTTTCTTTCATTTGTGTATGTGTTGTTGGTTTGTTTTAATTGTAAAATTAATAAAATTTATTTATTAAAAAAAAGAGACTGGATAGGTATTTATCAGAAATACTGTATTCTCGTTAGAGCAGTGGGTTAGACTAGTTGACCTCAAGGTCCCTTCCATCTCTGTTACTGTTTCAAACCATTTCAAACCCCCCCCCCTCCCAATCTCCCTCCAGGTCTGGAGACTCTTAAGCTAATGGCAAGTGTTGTTTGCTTTGGTAGCAACAAAAGGGTTTTTAAGTATTGCAAAGAGCATTGCAAGAGATCTCTGGAGGCAATTTAGTTCTAGGCTGAAAGCTGCTCTGGAAACAGCTGATGGGCAGCCCGCAGCATAGGGGAAAGTCTCAGTTCAGGCAGTGATCAATTAACAAATCAGAGGAAATAACTAGTTAAGTCAGATCTTTGTTCATTTAATGAGTTGATTCAATCTAGTTCATTTGATGAGGTTTTTTACTTGGGAGCCTAATGGCCAGGCTCCATTAGGTTTGTACCTCGAGGGCTTACCTATACTGTGAATGTGAGATCTCTGGTGCTCTTTGAGCTTGGTTTTCTTTGCAGGTATTTTATTACTAAATTAGTCAACACCAAAGGTATAATGTGATACCTAATTTAGTAATGAAATGTCTGTGAGAAAATACTCAACCTCAGAATGCAGGTAACAGAAACCACTTTCCCTCAGAGCAAGTAAAATGGTAGGAAACAATATGGATACAATAACTTTTTGTATATACTCTTCTTCCTAGCGTATTCCCGCAGGTGCAGGGTCTGCTATTCGGATCATTGAAGGCCACTTTGCAGTCAGTTGCATCTCCAGGGCACAGGCCCGCAGCTTACGTCTTTGTTGATGGTGTTTTGAACACACCCACGAGCTCACCGGCCATGGAATTCTAGTTGTATATTCTAGAATGTACAACTTTTTGTATCAACTGAGATTACCTAAATGATAGGACTCTGCCAGTGTAAAAAGATATCATTCCAAGTTTATCAAAAGCATTCCATTGCAGGGGCCATATTGATACCCCCTTTGCTATTATCTAATAAATCCAACATATAATCTGTAGCCTTGATTTGCTTCAGACTCTTTTCTTTAACAAGAGGCCTGGTGATCACTATAGTTTGTACACATACAACAAAGAAAATCAAAACTTTGTTATCAATTTGGTTTGGTTTCTTATTTAAGAGCATTTTTCTGATAAGCCCATGAAACAAAAAAAACTTATGAAGTAGATATGCAAAACATTTAACACGCTCTTCAGTATTGAGATGGTTACAAACCTTAAAGCAGGGGTATCAAACTTGCCTCATCACGGCGGTGTCACATGACATATCGGGACTTTTGGGCCAGCACGACACATCCGGCCTGCGGGCCATGAGTTTGACACCCCTGCCTTAAAGCATGTATTCATTGCCTAAACATGGACCTGAAACACACGCTCCAGCATTCCTTTTCTCTCTTTTATTCAGGCACCCAAGATGGTTTGGTGCGCTGCAAGTTCCTGCCTCCTATCATTCCCTCACAACTATCACCTGATTAAAGCAATTTGGTTTGAGAGCTTGACTAGTTCAGTCATGCAGAATTTCTAAGGATGAAACAGCAAGAGAAAGTTGGCCGTGCAGGGGTTGAGGCTGGATTAGAAGCTTTCTGAGTGGGTGCAGCTGAGGGGCCCTATCAGGTGAACACAGAAAGATCAGCAACCAAGCCAGTAGTTATGATGGGGGAAGAAAAAGGCAAGGCGCCATGGCCTTGACTGTTTTGGCCCTAAAGGCTCCTCTGGATTGGTCTCAGCCCAAACTAGGAAAGCTTAAATGATCCAGATTTCATCTTCCTAAAATAATTATTTGCCTGGAATGCTCCAACTAATGTCCAAGGAACATTCATTTTATGCACTGAACAAAGCACATTTAACACCACCAAGACTCCCTCTGATGGAGATGGGATGGTTCAAAAATGTGAAAAATAAATATTTTGCTTTCTACACACCTCTTAATGTGAGGCCGGATAGAACTGATTGTAGTAGGGGAGACAAAGGAGAAAAAACGCACTCAAATGATATCCAACAGAAGATAGAAAAAGGCAGCTCAGATCAATTATGTGTATAGGAACACAATTTGACTTAATATGCATTGCATGGACTGCCATAACTCACATTATTTTTTTTAAAGCAGGAATTATAAATTCTGAAAAGCATTACTATCTGAATGGGTTGCTAGAAAATTGAGCATCTGCCAACTGTAGTAAGTGATCCAGTTCGTACGACTGTAGGGCAATTCATACAGAATTGTTCTCTTCCCATAACAAAGCAGCAAAATGACTTAAAATACTAAATTTTTATTTTCACATTTACATTTAGTCTCCCTCTTCCCAGATCACCACTACTATGTATTATCAAAACATTTCCATACATATTTTAAATGAAAAGGATGGAATCTTGGTATTAAAAAACTGAACAGGCATTGTGGACCATACATTTTTGCCAAAATAATGTGGATGACATTAATTGGACTCTGGAGAGAAAGCTTCAGTCAGATATTAATGGTTAAACACACAGGACCATCGTTTAAAATGGAGCCATTTGACTTCTTGCTTACAAAGACTGCCTCCACTGCCAGAGCTCTTGAATCACCTAGAAATATACACAATACACAAGGAAGTTAGCTTTATCTAAGTCTCCTGCTGTAATTTGTAACCTTACAACACCATAAAACTTGTGAATAAACTTATTATTTAATAGATGTAATGCCTTCAAAACTATTTACGGGTACAGAATATAACAGGTTTAAAACAAGATGCACATACAGGAATTTCAGGCGAGTACTCATTTTTAAAAACATTTACTAAATGTCCCACTCAATTGATTAAAATTATTCAGTGTATTTTCCCATTTACATTTTACAAAGCATAGAAAAGGCCCTTTCACTATCTTAATTAAAATTGTCAAGAATTCTCTTTTAGGCAACCAGTTTCACTCTCCATCACAAAATCTCTTGGGACAGGAATGAATTCCTGTGGGAAAGGTAACCATTCTTTCAGAAATTTGGATCACAAAAATTTAAATTTACAGCTCTAAGCCAATCAATTTGTTCCTAGCACTAATATCACCACTATCTACCATGTTTTCTCATATGCCGTTTGACTTAGGAGGAAAAAAAACTGAAAGCTACAAAATAGTTTTGATCTAGAAATAGGCACTAAAGGACAGGCAAGTGCATCAGGCAATGCTCAATGCAAAAGCATTTTACTTGGTCAAAAATGGGATTGAAGCACCTTATAGGCTTAATGAAAGGACTCATTGACTCCCTAAATCACAAAAAAATGTTCTCCATTATCACCATCAGAAAAAAAAACATCCAGTTGTTTTTTCCTTGTAATGAAGAAGTAACACAATTCTGTTAATTTAAGTGATTTTATCGACATAATTCCATTACCTTGGGGTCTTCTGCCTTGTAACAACTCTTAATATAATTTGCAAACTTGGCTTCTAACTTAGGAAGATTCATTCCCTATTGAAAGAAACAGACAAATACAACATTAAAACAATGAACTACAAAATCTATAGTTCACGCTACAAATAAGTTCATTTAAGATAGAACTGGTTCACATGAAAATGCCCGAGAGAAAGCTTGGAATTGTCAACAAAGACCCATAAAATTGCAATTCACATGGTAAAATACTTTAAATGGAGACTATGAGTAAAAACCACAATTAGTAGGGGGAAAAATCTAATTCTTCCACCAAACCACAATTAATGCCTTGAAGAATGCACAAAGGAAAAATTGGGAAGGCAGGTGACCTTCCACTGTAAAAATACAAAAATTAGAAGCATAAGATTTCTATGTTCACCACTATAAGTTGAAAAATCAAGTTTTCTACATTAAAGCACACATACTCTATCTCAGTAGTCACTGCTATTCAGTGTGGTAAAATTACCTTTTCCATGATTGACTGCATTTTTGCTTTTATCTCCTCTATAGAGAATTGTTTTGGTGATTTTGCAGGCCGTGGTGATTTGGGAGTCTCTGCTGCCTTTCCTTTTGGGGTTTCTTGAGTCTGAAACATACCGAACTAGGATTAAAATCCCTCAACAATAGAACAAGAAAACTGATGACCAACAATAGATAGGCAAGCCTCAGGTTATATTAACAAAGAAGGGACAACCAAGCATATGACAAGATAGGAAGGGAAAAATCTTGGGCCATTGTGCTATTTGGTCAAGTATCAGTAGTTTTACATAATGAAATGTATTTTTTAAAAAGATTTGAAAGACATTTCAAGTATAGGCCTCTTAACTTTTCATTAAAAGTTTATGTCTGTAAACATGTCTTTAAAATTTTTAACTTTTTAACTACGTAGATGCATGTAAAAATTTAATCAGAAATAATATCCCAATACTATAACTGTGATGGTGAACCTATGTCATGTGTGCCCTCTCTCCAGGAGCACCAACCATTGCTCTTCCGGATTCTGCTAGCTGGTCTTCACGCGCACGAGAACACCGGAAACCGGAAGGGCAGCTTCCTGGCAGGCAAGTGTGTGCCAGCCAGCTGGTCTTCGTGCACGCATGCACATTTGAAACTGGAAGACCAGGTGGCCAGTGTGCATGCTGGAAAGCTGAGCTTCCAGTTTCCAGTGCTCCCATGCAGCATGCCAGGGAGCTGCTCTTCCGGTTTTCAGCGCTCCCGCCCGCATCAGTTTTAGCACTCGATGCCAAAAAGGTTTGCCACCACTGCTATATAGCTTTTGTCATTGTCACTTTTCCCCTGATTATTTTATCCACAGTATAGAACATATTGCTTCATCTCTTGACTTCTGCATGATGGATTATGTGTTCATTCTTTGGGAGCCAAGACTGCAGTTGATTGTAGAACTATACAGCCTACTCATAAGTCTTTGCCTTGCACTCATTCTACTTCTATGCTGTTTCAGCCAGTTCATTTATAGGAAGTCCTCATTTGGGGGCTATCACAATTGGGACTGGCAATTGATGCTAAGCAACATGGTGATTAAGCAAAACATGTGGCCATGCCAGATTTGCATCATTTCCACTGTTGTTTAACCATTACTTCCATTGTCGTTTAACCACGCTAAACCATCACTAAGCAAAACAGTCATTAAGCAAGACATCATATGACTCTGACTTCTGATTTTATTGCAGGCTTCTCCACTGAGTGCTTGTTGGAAACCAGCTATAAGGAATGCAAATGGTGGTCATGTGACTTCAGGGATGCTATGAGGATCATAGTCTCCTTTTCAACATCATTGTAGGTTTTGAACAGTTTGTTAAACAGGACAGTTATTAAACAAGGTCTACCTGTACCTCTTCCAACTATTAGCTTTTATATATTTGCAATTAGCTTTTATTTTGTGTCAAGTGACAGGGAGAGCATTCTGTGTTTTTAAGATGTTTTCCCTGTGAGGGAGGAGCAGCTGCATTTATCAGACACTAATTAGCTAACAAAAGCATTAAATAATAATATTTGTTCTGAAGAGGAAATTCTGCCTCTGAATGACAGGTGTTAACTTAAACTATACCTTAATCCCAGTATGTAACCATCCACTTGGCAATTCATCAATACATGCAGATTCTTATTTAATTCCTATAATAAACCGGTATTATAAACCAGATATTAAAAACCTAGATTAGCACAACTCCCAATTTTCCTAATTTATAATAGCCAACTATGAAAATTAATCCACGTACTCACTTTCAATTTGGATGTTGTCAACTTTGGTGTTGCCAATTTAGAATCTTTTCCATTCTGTTTTGATTTTGGTGTTTTCTTCACAGAAGAATCTCTGGCAGGCTAAAAGTAGAATAAATGTTAGCAGCCTTACTTTAATATAATATACTCAAGAAAGAGACTAAAACAACTATTATTTACCACACATTTTACACTACAATTTCCACAGCCTATGCTATTGACCATGTTCACCATGATTAATGAAAATTTACAGCCTGCCACTGCTACAAAGAGTTAAATATCAGTTCTTATTGTAATGAAAATGTAAAGTTTACTATTCCAATGGAATCTAACCAAATAAACTGTGGTACCTTGGTACTCGTTAATTAGTTCCGAGAAGCTCGACAAATACCAAACAAATTCTTCCCATAAGAAACAATGTACATAAATTTAATGTGTTCCCAAACCAAAGACAATGCATTTTTAAGACAATAAGTCAAAAAGATAGGGTTGCATGTTATTACTTTACTTGAGAAATAAACCTAAAATTAAATACTGTACTTAGATTGAATAAAATAAAAAGTTCACTTTACTTGTACTAAGACTCCACATCCTAATGTGATTGTCCTGTTCCAGTCCATATGCACAAACACACAGGGAGTTTTAAAACTTTAAGGCAGGTCACTTGCACCAACTGCAAAATTCCATGCCTGCTCAACCTATGCACAGGGTTGTAATGTCCGCAGGCAAAGGCACAAGTCGACATACATAGTCTGAAACCCAGACACAATCCAGAGTCCACACATGGTAAAAACTAATTCAAGGTAAAAGTCCAAAGTCCGAGAAGCAGGTTCAAAGTCCAAACATGAAGTCACTATCGACCCTGAAGATGACTATGTGTAGCCATATTTTATTGTAGTCTTTGTTTATTCTTTTAACTTTCTTTAGGTTTCTGTAGCTCGCCACATTCTAGCTGTTGAAAGGGGGGTTACAGAAGTAAGAAGGGAATGTTATGTCTAGTTGGCATTCCTTTCCTGTGGGAACAGAGAAGATGCATGCAGCGGGAGGAAGGTGGAGTTTGGAGTCACCGGACTGATGGGACTGAGAAATGATTGGAGATTGTGACTCTGGGGAGAAGTTTCAAACTTTTGCTTTTACTGGGTGTAATTCTGGAGTCTGGCCGGAGTCAGAATTATACCAGACTTTGCCAATTTGATATGTTCCTAATAAATAGACTTATGGATGCCTTAGATTTTTATTCTGGGGACATATTATTTGGAACCTTGACAGTCACACGAAGCATAGGTCTGAACTTACGGAAACTGGAGTCATGGAGCTGGACACATGCACTGTAGAGAAAACAGGCGGCTGTTTCCAACATCACCTCGCTCCGTGTGTTGGGCTAAATAAGTGTGCAGTGGTAAAAGGGATGAGGCTGCCTTTTCACAAGTAACCTCGCTGGACTCCCATTGTGCCCCCTCTGATCAGCCCTTTGCATCCTAGGGTCTGATGGAGAAAGTAATTCCTTCTTCTTTCCACTGACCAGGTGCAGCAATCTTTTTCCAGCATGCACTTCTGTCTGGATTTCCCTGCAGCTGCATATCCTCTCCCCTCCAGCCAGGCACTTGAATGATTATTCCAACAGCCCCCCAAAAGTTACTGGTTTCTCTTTTTCTTCTGACCCATTCACTCCCTGCACGGGGTGGAGAAGGATCACTCTTGCAGCTAGTCAGCTGGGACGAGAAGGAACTGCCTCCCCCCACCAGATCCTAGAACGCATAGGGTGAATGGAGAGAGGCACTATGCACAACATAAGCCAGCAAGGCTACTCTCGAGGAGACAGCCTCACCCCCCACCCCTTTTTAAATATTTCTTATTAAACAATTTTTCTTTAATAAATGTAGCATTACTGTTTTCTTATATTTTCCCATTATTATACCTAATAGAAAAGTATCCGGTCTTAATTCAATTTGCTGTTTAATTATTTCTTCTATCCATTTTTTTGTCCTTAACCAATATCTTCTTGCTACAGGGCATGTCCACCACGCATGGTAATATATTCCTTGCTATAGTTTGCATTTCCAACATTCTGATGATCTGTTTGGGAACTTTTTTGCTAATCTAGCAGGGAGTAGAAGCCATCTGCAGAACATTTTGTACAAATTTTATCTACATGAGGCCAACATCGTCAATTTAAATTTTTTCCCACATTTCTCCAATTCTATCGTGTAGCCACATTTTTTTGCCCAAACTATCATTGTTTCTTTAAACCTCTCCTCTTCCATCTTATATTCCAATAATTATATAATTTTTAAATCAATTTCTCCTTTGGACCTTGTAGTATCTTATCTAATTGCAACAGCTCTCTGTGCATCCCAGTATCTTTCTGTATCTTTCTTGAATCTTGTATGTATTTGCATGTACATCCACCTCTCTACCTGTATTCCTTATTCTTTTAATTCGTTTCATTTTTAATATCCCTTGCTTGTTTTAAGATTTCCTTATATCTTACTACCTTATCTAGGTCTAACACATTTGGATATATTGATGCTTCCATGGTTGATAACCAGATTCGAATTTTGTCATAATGGTTCCTTTTAATCTTTTCCCAAATTAATAGTAACGCAATTCTTATTTGATGCCTTTGGGAATAACTATGCATCTTATTTTTCCCATCCCATAAAAATGCGTGCCACCCTAAGTCATGTCCTTCAATTGTCAATATTCTTTTGTTTTTCAACATTACCCAATCTTTAATCCATGTAAGGGAAGCTTTAGCCCTCCTAATGAGTTATGCCGGCACACAGCGATTTAGCATCTTCCTGATGCTCCCCTGCGCCCTCTCTCTGAAGTCCCCAAGTCGGCTCGTCCTCGTCTGGGGAACTTGTTAGCAGGATGGTGGGAGGTTACATGGAGCATTGCTTGGAAGGAGACTCCCCCTCCAACATCAGGCACTTGAACTTCAGGTATTCTTTCTCTTTTCTGCTTTTTTTTCAATTTGCACCACAGGCTCTGACACAGCCTTTTGTCATCTTTACTAAAAACATATGCAATAAGGACTGTTTGTCTTTTCAGAATTTCTTGAAAGTGTGAAATTGTTTGGTCACTGAATAAATTCAGATTTCTTCTTGTCGGACCCTTGTCCAGATGCTACTTCTCCACAAAAGTTTTGAACTTCTGCCTATTATGCACACATTTATTTTATCAAGTAACTGGGAACATCCTCCCTGATCTCATCTGAAGAAATTTCTTTAGCCACCTTTTGTTGCTGCTCCTTCTGTAGTTCCTGCAGCTCCTCAGTGCTGAGCTCTTCATGTTCTTCCACTGACTCCTCAATATCAGCAGCATCAACTTCCAGACCCATGGATTGGCCCAAAGATACAATATCCTGTACAACTGTACCTTCTGTACCTGCAGGCCAGTCTCAAACCCTTCGAAGTCTCTCTGATGCATAGCTTCTGGCCACAAATTATTCCATGCCGAATTCATTAGGACAATGAAGGGACTTCTTCATTGTAAGAGACTTCTTTCCAGGATTTATCAATAAAATCAAGGCAGTACAAGGATATTGAAATGCTTCTTCCAGAATTCTATGAGTGTCAACTGGGCATCAGAGGTGGTCTCAAAGTATCTCTGGAAACATGCACAGATATACAACTTTTTGAAGTGACCTGGCCTATGGGCTGGAAGAGAGGAAGTTTTTTTGGGGGGGGGCAGGATGCTTACAATGATGAAGCTGAACTCTTCCAGTAAGAGATCCTCCAACCCTGTAGAGTGGGCAGGTGCATTGTCCATTATTAGGAGAGCTTTCAGAGGCAATTCTTTCTCCAGCAAATGTTTTTTCACTGAGACACCAAACACTTTATTTATCCATTTGGTGAAAAATTGCCTCGTGATCCAAGTTTTGCCGTTTGCCCTCCACATCATGCGCAGTTTGTTTTTTATGACGTTATGCTCCTTGAAAACTCGTGGGTTTTCACTAATGAGACTAGTAGAGGCTTGATTTTTAAGTCCCCCCTAGCATTCCCACAATATAGTAAGCCTAACCTTCATTGGTTTGTGACCTGGTAATGCTTCTTCCTGTTTCATGATGTAGGCTTTTTTACCCCCCAAAAAAGTTGGTCTCATCACAGTTAAAAACTTGGTGGGGAATAAAACCCTCAGCTTCTCGTAGTCATGAAATTCACAAATTCATCAGCAGCCTTTTTATCACCACTCACTACTTCACCATGCCTCATAACAGTATGGACGCTCAAAGGGATGGCGCGGGGTGGGTGGGTTCTAATTCAGTTTAGTTCTAATGAAGCCTGCTTGAGCAATTTGATTTACATATAATCTCTATATATCTGTACATTTTCTGAAAAAACCAAAAATAATTTGCCTGTAAGAATCATGTATTCAAAATGGAAGCCACATCTGACTGAATATTTACTTATTTCAACCATTTATCTATATGGAGAGTAAACTACTGTTTTGTAACAATTTTTATCTTCTAAGAAAATCAAATTGTTATTTTAAGCTACAGCTCCACCTAGTCATGCTGCCTCCAGAAACATTTATAATTATTTAACTTTGCAATAAACTATTAATTGAGCCAAATGCAGGAAAATTTACTTTACATTCCTTAACTTGAAAGCAAATTCTTTAATCCAAGCACTTCTTCAAACAAATGCATTCTGAAACAGCTCGGTTGCCATCCTTTTTCACTTTTCAACTTGTAATAGAAATAGGATGTTGTTTCCCCTATCTAATTCTTAAAAAAAACTTTTAAGACAAGAGAAACACCTTCCTCTTATGATTCCCAAAATGTTCTTACAGTCCAAACTTTTTTAAACCTTTTTGTAAATGTAGCCAGGTGCAATTTTCCTTCACAGAAAGTCAAGCATATAGGGAAAAGATAAAATAGCCCATTGTGCCAGCTGAATGGTATTAACACTGATTTCCAGAAGTTTGCTGGAAACAGTTCAGAGTAGTACCTTACCATTCAAAAAGCAATGTAATGTGAGAAGGCATGAAACAGAGAGAAAAAGCAAAAGCAAATGTACTTTCTGGAAAAAGAGGAGACAAAAAAGCTACTCCTAAGGTCCACTCGTGCATGTAATAGCAGGGAGAAGACAGGAAAATAATGCTCTGCATATGGACTACAGAAACCCAATTTCAGGGTTAGAAGCAACAAACACCAAGACGTCCATCCAAAATGTTTTGAAAAGGAAAAATAAAAAACTGGATTTCTTCGAGCACTGTATTTCTCCA